AAATACAGCTTCTGGAGCAACGTAACGTGGGAAAGTGAAGCTGGCATTCATTATTTTGTGGGTTTTTCTTTCTTGTTCTCACATGATATCTCTTGGCTTCCTCAATCTCTCATCTTATCGTAAAATATTTGCACAAGGCTTCGGGAAAAAATATAGATTATACAAATTTAATCATTAAATCAATTATGATTAAATTAAATGGAATAAAAAACTAATCATAAACAATAATTGTTTTAAGTTAGTAGCAATGTAATTTATTTTTTAAAATCAGTGCAACACATTTATAAATTTAAAAAAATTTAATATGTCATTTATCTTAGATTTTTTAATTCTAACTTTAAAAAAATAAAATTGTATAATTTAATTTTACCTTTCTGAAAAATTTAATTGTATGTTTAATATTCTTTCCTAAAAATATCATATTAGTTACAAAAATATATACAAAAAAATTGATGTCTATTTTTGTCATTATATATCTCAATTGGTTTTTAGAAATTGATGTCTATTTAAATTGATGTCTATTTAAAAATATGAGATTATACAAATATGAGATTATACAAATTTAATCATTAAATCAATTATGATTAAATTAAATGGAATAAAAAACTAATCATAAACAATAATTGTTTTAAGTTAGTAGCAATGTAATTTATTTTTTAAAATCAGTGCAACACATTTATAAATTTAAAAAAATTTAATATGTCATTTATATTAGATTTTTTTAATTCTAACTTTTAAAAAATAAACTTGTATAATTTAATTTTACCTTTCTGAAAAATTTAATTGTACGTTTAATATTCTTTCCTAAAAATATCATATTAGTTACAAAAATATATACAAAAAAAAATTGATGTCTATTTTTGTCATTATATATCTCAACTGGTTTTTGAATCAAATCATCCAAATAAATTTTAGTTCATTTAACTTACTTCTGAAAAAAAGTATCCAAACATAAATCACATTAAAGTTGTACATTTCTTCCAACCTCAGTTTGCTAACCTCAATTAATTCTAACCTCAGTTTTAAAATTTTTAATCCAAACACACCCAGAGTCTCTGTTGTCCAGTACTCTTTTTAAAATTATCAAGCGCGCGTGTGCGCATATATATATATATATATATATTTAAAAATAGTATTTATTCTCTTAATTATTATAAAAGTAAATTTATTATACAAATGAAATTAATATATATTTTTAAACTTATCATATGATTTATTTTTATATTACTTTATATAATATTTAAAATTATATTCTATAGAATAATTAAATTAATTATATTCGGTACAAAATTTTGTCTGTTTAATAAATTTTTTTGGGATCATCATTGCTTGTTTGCCATCACCTTTTTTTTGGGGTGGATTTCTCCTCATTATCTTTTTTTTTTTTTTACTATTTCTCCACTACAAATCTAAACTGTTCAAATTAAATTTATATTTTTAAAAATTATTAAATTTAAATTTTTAAATTCAATTTAACGGTTCAGATGTATTGATTTTTTCATTTCTCTCCTTTACAAGGGAGAGAATTTTCGTAGTTATTTTGAATCGACTTTAATTTGTTTTCCTATTATATTTAAGAAAATATATCTAAATTTTGCATCTAGTCGCCAGACGCATGCATGGGGGGCTAAGGGCAGCAAGATTAGATAATCACTAAACTTCAATGTGCTTAGAACAGAACAACTTGAAGGGGAATAAAATGTAATTGACCATATATGTTTTAGTAGGGAAAATAATAATAAAAATACTTCCAAAATATTCAAATGACAGTTATGTACGTTAAAATGTAATAATTATTATTTAATCTCTAAGGACTTATTTGGCATTCTGATTTTTGATGAAGATGAAATGATACATTTGTCCTTAGTGGTGACTATTATACATTAGGAAATAAATTTGGTTGAGTTATTGATTAAAATCAAATAGAAAATACTACTTTTTTTGGGAAAATTTTTATATCAATTAAGTGCAATTAAAGTAGTCATTTTCAAAATGAAAATAGTTTTGCAAAAAGGAAGTAATCATAATTTAATCCATTTATATATTATGAATTTGTAGAAAGAAAGTAATTATTTTTATTTCATTTTAGTTAATAGTCCAATTAAAATAGTCATTTCTCAATGTATAAGAATCATTGATTTTTAGTACTTACACTTGATTGATAAACAAATTTGCAAAATAAAAATAATTATTTTACATTTTATTTTTAATTGGTAATCCAATCAAATTAGTCATTTCTCAAGAATAGTCATTGAAAGAAAATATATTATTTTATTAAAAATCAAAATATCAGACAAATTCCTGGGGATTGAATATATCACATTTTGCATTATTTAATTATCATTTATATATTTTGAATATTTTTTGTCTTCTCCAAAAGGAGTTATTTAAAACTTGATCCCCAAGAATATGGGGGGAGTTACAAGTAAACTCCACCCAAATGGACAAATGACAAAACTATCATAAAATGGAGTAATTACTTTGAGATCCCTAGAGATTTATCTTACATAAATTTTCTTTGTGAAATTACATTTCTCACACTCTTCAAACTAATAAAAAACATAGCATAGTTGTTAAAACCTAAATTGAAGTTATAGTAGAAGTTAGTTTAGGCATGTGATAACAAACATATTTCCTATCTTAGCAACTTCACTTTAGTGATTAACAAAACAACTGGCCATAAGTTTAGTTATACACTTCATATACTTTAATAACTTTACATTTATTATTTTTTAGAGGGTCTTTAGCAAAGTTTTTAAACTCATCAAATTTAAGTAAACTCACGATAAAAATGTAAATTTGAAACATAAACTCGGATTGCAAACTTGTAAGAGTTTACATCTATTAATAAATAACTTTTAAAAATACATGATTAAATAATTAAAATATAAAATATGACCATAATTTAATTTAAATATATTTTAGGTATAAATAATTGAAATTAAATCCATCTACATTTATGAAATATTATACTTAAAATAAAAATTTTAAAATGTGACAACTTATTTTTGATATTTTTTCTCTTTTATTAATATTAATTTTTAGTTTTTGTAGTTTTATTTTTCATTGAATCAAATCCTACCGCTTCCATGAATCAAGTTTCACATAATATATACTTATTTTGTTCAATGAATTTATGAGCAAATTAACATAATTTTATAAGTTAGAAACGTAAAAATGATAAACTTAAAAAGTCAACTCTTGAGTTTAATCGAATTTTATCTAATTCGAGTTTATGAGAAAAATTAATATAATTTTATAAGTTATAAACATAAAAAGAATAAATTCATAAAATCAATTCAAAAGTTTAACAATAATAGTCTTTGAAAAATTATGTTAGATAAGATTTCAGAAATTTTAGAGTAATTATCTCATTTTATAGTATTCCTTCGTTATTTGCTTATTTGAGTTAGATTTATTTATCATCCTCCGAAGACTTCATGACCAGTATCTTCTTTTGCTGACTTAAATAAAAAAATTGCAAAAGATGTTCTGATGGTCAACTTGTAATAGAAATAAGATTTGAAATCATTTTGATTTTCAAGTATTGAAACCAAAGTAATAATAGTAATGGGTCGTCCCAATCCCAGTAGGACGCAGGCTGAGAAAGCCAACTCATGGTCCTTTCTCGAATAGGAGACAGGATGATCTCATGTCCCATAACACTCTTATTTTGGTATTTTTTTTCAGTAAGCTTTTTTTTAATGACAAATATTTTTTTCTTTCATTAATTTCTAATTCTATACTATTTGGGTGCAAAAATTATATAGTTATTATATTCCATTTAGTTCTATTTATAAGTTATTTTTAGCACGTTTTATTAGAATTAAAAAAATTTTAAATTTCATTAATTTTGTCTTAAAATTTAATAAATTTTTATCTTTATTTCTAATAAATATTTTTAAATCTCATTACTAGTATTTTTATTCAAAGTATTTAATAAAAATAAAAATGTAAAAGTAGGCATTAAAAATTAACAAATATCTTGTAAATAAGTTTAATTTTTTTCTTCTCTATCTACCTTATAAATAAAAACATAGGAATATATCATAACTTGTTCTTGCATGGAGAAAAAGTTGAACCGGTTCACTCGTTATTCAAGCTGGTTTCACTGGTCTAGAGACCTGACCAAGAATCGATTAACAAGTGCGTTTTCGGTCGAAGCTGCTGGTCTAGTCAAGTTAAAATCCAAACGAACATATGAATCATGACGTATGCTTTTCATTTCCTGTTTGACTCTGCAAACCAACGAAGCAATTATAAGCTATTTTTTCAGCTGAGAGGCAAGCGAGTCGGGATCGTAGGCCTCGGAAACATAGTCTCAGAAACAGCAAAACGGCTCGAAGCTTTCGGTTGCATCATATCGTACACCTCAAAGAACAAGAAGCCACTTGTGTCATACCCTTTCTATCAAAACATCTTGGAGCTTGCTTCTGCAAGTGACGTGCTTGTTCTCTGCTGTGCACTGAACGAACAAACAAGGCATATGGTGAACAGGGAAGTGATGATGGCCTTGGGAAGAGAAGGAATCATTGTGAACATTGGAAGAGGAAGTCTGATAGATGAGAAAGAATTGGTTAAGAGTTTAGTGAAAGGAGAGATTGGAGGAGCTGGTTTGGATGTGTTTGAGAAAGAGCCTCATGTTCCTCGAGAGCTTTTTGAATTGGACAATGTAGTTTTTTCTCCTCATGCTGCTGTGCACACTTCAGAATCTATAATGGGAGTTTCTGAACTAATGGCTGCCAATATGGATGCTTTCTTCTCAAGTAAGCCTCTACTTTCACCAGCCGGGCTCTACTTTCACCAGCCGGGGTAGATTATTTGAATTGATCTACCGATTCGTGAACTTATGTCTTAAGACTTGCATAATGAGAAGAAAAATGAATACATTCATGGATGATTATACTTGAAAATTACACCAAAAGACAATCCTTCACTTGAAGGATTTACATCAAATCCCATAGCTACCTTGAGGTAACGAGGTGGGGATTTATGTTAACCTTCCTAACCTCTAACATAATGTGACACCCTTTATTTAGAATTTAGGATTACCAACTAACCAAGAGATTGACATTAAGAACTCTAGCTAATCCATTCTTCAAGCATTATGGCTGCACATTTTGGTTTTTTTTTTAATAAATAAAGCATATCTACTAATATTCTGGTTATATATAATGGATTGAGCTATTGATTCATCTTTTTATTGTTGGCTGTAAATTAAATTGTTTAATTAAGCTTTCGTTAATTTTGAAATTTGTTTGTAAGCTTTCGTTAGCTAATCCATTTTTCACATTGGTTTTCCTAAAAGACTAATGTGGAATGTCTTTTTTATAAAAAAAAATATTTTTGTTTTTTCTTATTGGCAATCCAAAAAAAATCCCTATTATTCGAAATAAAAAAAATAACTCACAAAAATATTAAAAAAATATTTACAACATCCAAAATACAATAAGTTTTACAATTATTATATATTAATTTTGCATACCCCTCACTTAATAAAGAAGCAAAGTGTTGGTCAATAGCACCAAAATATATACCCAGTGCATCTCAAATGTAAACAAATACATTTCATTTCTATTACTTGTGCAAAATTGATAGCTCTTCCCGTCCTTTCAAAGTTTTTGTACTCTTCTTTACAAAATCAATATTGATTAGAGCCAGTAATTCAGGTAGACCGAATTTATATGGATTGGGCTCAATTCAGGCTGGGCTAATTTGGATCGAGTTTGAAGTATCTTACCTCTTAAAAAAATTCATATAGTCAAGACTATTCCTAACTTTTTTTGAGCTAGCTTGAGCTGACTCATTGAGCTTAGCCAAAATTACCAACTCTATATACATATAAAGTGGGAAATTTCAACGATTGAGCTTATTTGGGCCGGACTTATTCAAATTGAGCTTAAAGTATTCTACCGTTTTAAAAAGCCCATATAATCAAACCTGATCCTAGCTTTTTTCGTAAGGGTTTGGATTAGCCTGTTGAGTTTGGCCCGAATTATCGGTTTTAACATTGATCCATGGTTTGCATTGACATGAACCCTTACATACAACTTGAGCAATAATGCGCATATAAAATGGAAATTAGAAGATTTTCACCTCAATGCATAATATAATCCAACATAGAACCTAATCATGATATTCAAATCAAAATGATAATAACAAAAGCTCTAATGCTTGAAAGAAAAGTCAATCATACATTGACTAAGTAATAGAAACAAGAAATTAAGATCAAATAAATATTTGAATAAGATCATTTAAATAAAAGCAAGATATTAATTGTATGACTCATGTAATACCTTTTGCCAACTATGAATTGAACAGGTGTGCTTCAAAGAAGTGTGCTCCAAAGCTCTTATATTCATATAAAATGGAAATTAGAATAAAGAAATAATAAAGACAAATTTTAAATTATATACAATGGAGACACAACTTTAAAAATAGCTATTTAAGTTGCCTTTTAATATCAGTTATTAAAAAAATAGTTGTAAAAAAAGGCAATGGCATGAAAGTAATTAAAAGCAAAATATTTAACATTGGTTCAAACAATAACCAACTTTAAAGGAACTTACTACATCGATTTGGATACAGAACAATATGGTAAAATAGTTTTTAAAAAATTTTCAAAAAATGAATGCTTACCACATCGGTTTTGACTATAACCGATGTGGTAAAGTAAATGATATGTAAATAATTTTTAAAAAAATCATACTTTTCCATATCAATTGTTAGTCAAAACTGACGTGGTAAAAAATTTAAAACTTTCCACATCTGTTCCTAAGAGAATTGACATGGAAAGTTCTATTGTTTTAAAATAAATTTTTTTAAACCAACGTGGAAAGGGTTTTTAACATCGATTATGCTAACAACCAACGTTAAAAACCTTTCATAAAGTTGCTACATGGACAACAGCTTTCCCATTTCATTTTCTTGAACCATTTAGCTACCATTTTCTCTGAAATTTCAAAATGCCTTTCCAGAAATTGAGAGCCTCTTAGGTTTCCGCTGCTAGCCTTCAGCCATTTGTCGCTAGCCTTTTGTCTCCCGTCATCTGCCACTCTCTGTTCTGTCCGCTGTCCCGGTCATTCCCTTTCTTAGGAATAAGTCATTTTTCCGCTTCTTTCTTGTTCCTTCTTCCTCCTTCATTGTTTCTTAATGCTTTTTTGTAACATTTTCTTCTTCTTCCTTCTTATTCCTTTGGACAATGCAGTGGTAGATTTGTTCGTCCCTCTTCCTCTTCCATTGTTGGTGCTGGGGTTTTAGAGTTTCCCATTTTCATCCCTGCTGCAAGTAAATTTGATTGTTTTTATTACTTTTTTATTTATTTCTTAAATTTATAATAGATTATAAGTTGTTTTACATTTCAATTTGTCATCTTTGTTGTTGCATAATTTTTTTATTTAAATGGTTACGAATAAAAATTTTATTATATGTCCAACGTTGTGATTTTTGCTGCCTAAATTTTGATACTGATAAATTTTTTGATATTTTGGAATATCAAAATTTTATGGGAGACTCTATCAAACAATTTTTTAATTATTACAAATAAAAAAGATAAACATGATTATTGTTGAGTGAATTTTGTTTTGTAATTGTTGAAATTTTGGGATCATATATAATTTGTCAATTTTTTTTAATTTTTTCAAATTGAAAAAAATATAGAAGTAATGGATGTGAAAAGTATTTGGCTAATTGTTCATACTACGTGAAAAGTACTTAGTTAAGGGTTCATACGATGTGAAAAGCTAAGGATACATACTTACATTGGGATAAACCCAACTAAGTGCATTTTGATCCTTGTGTGTCCCATCCATCATATAATTTGACTAAAATAAAAACAATCAAATTCAATTCAAATCTCAAACAATTTTAAAATTTAAGTAAACCCAAGCAAATTTTAAACATATAACAATTCCAAAAAAAACACGTGAATAAAAATTTTGACTAAATTATATACTTTCTTAGCTCAAGCATGTTTGTTCTTCAATTTGTAAAGATAAAAAAAAATTAGCAGAGTTTCCTTTTAAAATGAAATATTCCAAAATTTCAACAATTACAAAATTCTAAGTAGAAACAATTGGAAATATTTATTGAAAACATAATAATTCTAAAACCTTGAATATCAAAATTACACAACAAAGTTTATCACAATAAATTTAATTCTTCCTATAAATTATAAATTTCATTTTATCAAAAACTCAACAAAAAAAATAAAGAATTTCAATTTCTTCCCTTAACATAGGCAACATATCAGAAAACTAAAAAAAATTAAAAAGAACTAAAAAAAATGCGAAGACTATAATTCAAATCCAACTACTATGATTTTCATAAGCCAATAAAAAAATAGAAAAATAACAATGAGACTTACTTGGAATCTATCGGAGAAGAAAATACAACTTAAAAAACTCACTTAAAGTAACACCCAACAATGGAGAAGGAAGAAGGAGCAAGCACCTACTAAAAAAAATGCATATGAAGATGACCTACCTACAATGGAAGAAGAGGGAAGAAGGAAGAAAGCAAATGGAGACCTAAAATCAAAGAACTCACTTGAACCCATACACAAGAGACAGCGACGATGGATTTGCTCTAAAGTTGAAGATTGACAGTGACAAAGCTACAAACTTCAAACACTGAAATGCAATGGCCAATGAACATTGACAAAAAGTGAATGGAGCTTTTTGACAATCGAAATGGGCAAAGGTTGAAGCTTTGAAGGCTAGGAAAGTTCGGCAAGAGAACTTGAAAAGAGAGAGAAAGAGGAAAAAAGAAATGGGCTATTCAAATGAGGGTGGAGATGTGGAGGAATTATTTTTAAAGAAAAACAATGTCAGTTTTTCAAAAAACTGACATTATTTTTCTTTTTAACATCGATTCTATGACATTGAAAATTTTCAAATTTCTTTTTTTTTAATTTTTTTTCTTGCTTTTTCATGTCGGTTAGTTGAATAACCGACATGGAAAATACTTTTAACATTATTTATTCACATAATTGATGTTAAAACTCTTGGCCTTATTTACAAAACTATCATTGGCCCTTTTTTTTAACAATAAATTTTTGCCCAAATGATGTTAAAAATTGACATAAAAGCATTTTTTTATCAGTGCTAATTTTGTAATTGACCATGCTAGCCTTTATTTTTTTTTTCCTTTGAGCATAACAAGTTTATATACTCCTCGAATTCTCTCTTTCACCTCCACTCCTCTCAACACTGTCGTTTGCTCCTTTGACCTTCCTTCTCTTATCTCCCTCTCCTCGCCATCGCTACTCCCTCATTTGATGACCATAGATCATACTTCACTCCCTTAATTTCTTTCATTCAATAATTGCTCTTCTTCTTTCATCACTTTGTTCCTCTTATTCTTATGTTCTTTGTTCGAATTCAATAGATTTAAGAGACCACTCACGTACAAGATCTTGATTCTCTCATGGATCGAGGTCCTATTAGTATTTAGAAGACATTTTAGAGCTCAGAGAAGCAAAAAAATTGTAAGATCTCTCTTACTAATCCACCATTAACTCTAAAATCAAGGTAATCATTGACTAACCCAATTGAATTTTCAAGTTTGTAAAATTTATATAAATGGAATCCCAAGTTTTCAAAACTTTACATGCTAAAAATCATTTTATAAATTCAAATCCGAGCAAAACATTTATATGGAAGCATGAACACCATACAAGGTTAGATAACATCAAAATGAGGTCAAAAGAGAAAAAGTAGTGATTCTAGTATAACACATTATAGCATAAAATGTTATGATGCGGCATAAAATGCAAAAACCCATGATAGCAAAAGCTGTCATAGTAGATTTTCTGGCTGAACTTTCGACATACCCCAAATCTTTGTCCGACGTCCAATTGAGGTAATCTAGGTATCTACATAAGGCTTTCTTCGAGCT